AGCCTCTCTAAAGGTTCAGTGTGTAACATTTAGGAGGATCTATTGCCAGAAAATTAATATAATAATTCATGCATGTATCTGATCAGCATAAAATAAGAATCATTGTGTTTTCACCACGTTGAACCGCCATGTTTCTACCGTAGGCCGGAAAGGACAAACCAAACGCTCGCTTTAGATGGGGCCCTTTGTGTTTTTAACAAGCTCTGTGGTTGCTGTAGTTTCTCCCTTTCTACACTTTGAAGGCTGAGCTTTGTTCAGTTGGTTCACTGCTAGATGCCACTAAATCCTACATACTGGTCCTTTAAATCGAAACTGTCTGCGTGAGGAGATACCGCTCGAGGTACACGAGGAAACTGGATTGTTTTGTGACTTTCATTCTTTTAAAAACAACAACAACAACCAAACAGACATTTAATGAGCAACAGTTCAGTGATGATAAACATGTATGAACTCCAGTGCCCCCTCAGTGTATGAGTTTGTGCAACAGGAGGGTTGGGGGGGGCTTGGTCAGCTCAGTGTTGCTGTTGTGCAACACAGTGTTGTGTGTCAGCTTGTCAGATACCTGGACTGTTTACCTCCTGGATCAGGTTGTGTTTCTGAGCCTGGCTCGACCACACAGAGTTGGGCGGGAGGTGGGGGGTTGGACCTCCCTGCTCGCTCACTGATGGACCTGGCTTGGCTGGATGACTAGTTTATTTTTTTTTTTATTTTTATTTTTTAAAGTCTCTTGCACACATGAGCATTTTCTCTCTGACACTCACACGGTTTTCTTGCTGCTTCGCGCTTTAACTAAGAGCCTGAGGCGGCAGCTTAGGCCTCGAGTTGTTTTTGTTGAAGAGCCTAATGTTCTCGATTGTCCAGCACACATACAGAGTGAGTGGAGTCCACCCCCTCAGGGACTTTAACTCACAGTCCCTTCACACTTCTACTCAAAGCCCGCTTGTCAAATCGGTTGAAGCTCTCCTGTTTTTGTCTTGAAGTGACTGCCTGAAATGCTGATTGCAGGGCAAATTTTGCTTCGGTCTGTTTTTAAAAATGCTGCAAAAGTTGCACGTTTTTAATTATTGTTCTGCTTCTATGTGCTCTGGCTACAGACCAGTAAGACTGTAAGGTACTTTATCATGGGAGTACCACAGTAACCTGACTGCAAAGCAAAACAATAAGATCTAAATGTTTAAAGACTTGATGTATTTCCACATAACAATCCACTGCAGTTTATCTGGAGACCCTCAGTTATGAAAGTATACGTTCAGCTGGAGAAATGTTAACCGTGGCCCCTGCTGGTGGGAAGCTGTGGAGTAATCGTGACATCCACGAGGGAAAAGAGGCCTTTGAGTTGACCCAGTGTCCAGAGGCAAAGTCACTGAGCTGTGTGCAACACTGCAGTAACGTGATTTGTTCTGCAGACTGGATTTCCTCTCTTCGCTTACAGTCAGACACCTGAACATGATTTGTCCACATACCTTTTGGCCATGTAGTGGAGGTAAAATAATGGAATATACATATGGACAGACCGAGGCCAGTGGCTGCCACTGAGTTCATGTCCTTGATATTGTTGCAGGAAATTTGGGTGTTTTTAACATCCTGAGGAGTTTATATTCCACAATTTTTAACATGTTTTTTTGAATGTTGAGTCAAAATCCCTCAAATTTGACTGTTTTTTAGGTGAAAATATGGATTAAAACGTCAGGATTTCGTATTTCTCCACCAGAATTTGATTCTTGACATTCTCGAAAATGCTTAAAAACAAAATTTAATAGGCCAAAATATATATTTTAGGAGTTACATTTTTACAGAAAATGCATAAAAATGTGAAACTCTTTGGACTCTTGAGCTCAGTATTTCCATTTAATACTTAATAACAAAATATAAATGTTACGGATTCAGTTTGTTTCTAGAACTACAGACATTTCCATCCGTCAGTTTCATCCTTTAAACTGCAGTTTCTTTGCTACCGTCTTCATATTATAAAGCCTGAAGTCTCAGAGCTTTCTCTTGCCCTTGTGTGCATCCTCCATCTGCAGCCTCTGACACATCCTCCTTCTCTCTGCTGCCCATCAGTCGTCCCCATCGGGCCGCTGGCTAATGACAGACATCGCTGCACATGTTGGCTGCACAGAGCGAGCGCAAAAGATGCCTGTGACCTTTCCTCTGCTGACAGCAGCACTTTACAAGGCCGAGTGTGTTTGAAGGAGAGCGTTAGGGTGTGTCCGGGCGCATGAATGTGAGTAGAAGTCTGTCGTGGGTGTATGTGTGTGTGTGTGTCTGTTTGCTGTGTGTGTGTGTGTGTGTGTGTGTGTGTGTGTGTGTAATTGCTCCATATCATGGGGTAATCTTGATGTAGGCGTGGAACATCGGCATTCCAGTGGCAAGTCCGTGGAGATGACCAATAAAGTGGCATAAAGCATTTGGGAGAAAAAAAACACTACTTATACTTTGTGGTGGATTTCAGGGTGAAGCTTCTCAGAAAGCAAAAACACACACACACACACACACACACACACACACACACACACACACACCTGAGAAAATGTTGGCCTGTGGTGAGTCAGACAGCCTGTAATGATGATGAGTGAGAGGTTGTTTATTTGGAGGCTAAAAACTGTCAGGACAAAACAGTCGGGACAAGCAGCGTTGCAATTCCAACCACTGCTGCGTCAGCAGTTGGCTCACGTTGGCACTGTAACCTGCCTATATGAGTCAGTGTGTGTGTTTATATATATGTGTGTGTGTGTGTGTGTGTGTGTGTGTGTGTGTGTGTGTGTGTGTTGCTGTTAGATTCACAGGATGCCAGACGAGCATGTAAGAATTTCTTCAAGTAAGTGAGATGGCAGATGTGTGCAGGGGAAAAGTGTGATGTAAATCCACAGCGATGCAGAAGCCCCACAGTTGTGTTTGCCAAATAAATCTGTGCTAATGGACGCAGGAGGAGGAGGAGGATGTGTATAAAGAGGTCGACCTCATCCTCTAAGTGCTTTAATATATAAAGAGAAGAAGACATTAGTCCTGCGCTGCTTCTACACTCCTGCTGCGTGTTTAAATTTCTAGCACCAACTTCCTCTCTGCAAAGAGGAAGCACCGACTGTACACAGTTTTATGTGTGCGATTTACATGTGTGCATCCATGCATGTGTGCAGCACTTTGCCACAGGCTGAAGTCCTCAAGTGGCTCTGGAGAAAGGATTTAGTGTGGCAGAGATTGACTTTCATTGACTGGCTGTTAAGAGGAAGAGGGGCAGCTTTAGCCCTCGTGTGTGCGTCTGCGTGTGTGTGAGTGTGTGTGAGTGAGTATTAATAGCATTACTCACTGAACTTTACTCTGGTCTCTAATAAGCTTTGTGGTTTTTCCATCCCCACTCTGATCCAGAGCCCAGCTGAGATCCAGGCCAGTGTCACACTGACTTCAGCTCCAGACTTTGACCGCTCACCCACTCCCCTCTTCCCTCCTCTCGGTCTTTCATTACACTTGTTTCACTCATGAAGACACAACCTGAAACCTTCCCCATGCATGTTATCTGTATTATTAGCTTCAGGGAGATTTGGTTTGCAGTCAGGCATTAAAAGCCTGATTCCTGGTCGTGAATGAAAACAAAAGTGTCTCTACAACCAAAATCCAAAACCGAAGATCACAACCTGCTTTTATTCACAAATTGGCGTTTTAGTAGGCTTGAACACTTTCAGTACTAGTGCCGACCCAACACTGGAGCTTTAGTAGCGATACCGAAATGATTGTGAAATGTCTCCTTTACAACAACTACAATTGAATGGAATAAAAGGGCAAAAAATAGTCCCTTGCACGTTAGCAGAGCTGATGTTAGCATTATGCTCAAAGCATTGGTGTGTCTGAATACAGCCTCCGTAGAGCTACTAGCATCGCTTACTCTTGTTCAATATTCAGTGGGACAGACACAAACACAAAACAGGCCTTTTAAATTTAAATTTTGGTCAGGTGTTACATATGCAAATAAATCTGTAATTTCTCATTTCAAAACAATTTTATTAGGCCCTTTTTAAACAGAAATCTACTGATACAAAAGATGAAACATTTGTGAAATGTATTCAAATATTTAAAATAAGTGTAAGTGAATAAAAACATAAGAAATAAAAAAAATAAAAAAAGCAGCACTACTTTTTCTTGCTGTTGCATAATGCCGAAGTTCTCGACTTCACTTGTTCTTACAGTATCTCACACTGGTAATTGCACACTCTCTCACTCCAGTCACACACACACACACACACACACCACACACTCTCTCTCACTCCAGCCACACATACACGGTATTAACACCGTATAAAACACACAAACTAACACACACAGGCTCAGACACCTCTCACTTCTTCTCTCTGCACGCTCTGCCGCAGTGTTTACTGCTTGTGTGCATTGCTTTTTGGAAGTCAAACTACTTGCCAAGCAAATATGCAGTAACATGTAGCTCAAAGGGGGGGTGGTGGGGGAGCATGTCGCATCCCCATGGTTACCATACCAGACGGAGCCATTGCCATAGCAGCAGGTTGCAGCAGAGAATCAGCCAAAACAAGTGAAGCAACTGACCTGCTAACGTTTTATGGCCAGTTTCCAAAAGCACTTGAGCGTTTATGTCACTCAGCGCTATGTCACGGTTTTATTTTACTACTTCAGATGGCGTTAACTGATGTGATTAATGTATTTATAATAGATTATCATCATAAATCACCTGCTGCAGGTCGGTTCTGTTTAGTTATGTCTGCTCACGTGCACTGTGAGGTGTTCTTAAAATAATACTTTGCATCGGTTGTCATGTTTCTTTTTAAAAAGTGGAACAAGCATTAATTGCTCCAGAGAGTCTGTTGGGCCAGATTGTGTTTTTAAAAAAATAAGTGTATTTTCCGGTGGTAAATTGCATAATTTCCTTTGCTTTTCGATTTCTACACAAACAATGTTGAACCTACGGTTTTAGTGTCAATTGTGGATCAAATTAAAAGTATATTTTGTGTGGGTTTTCTTGTTGTTGTTTGATCCAGGTGCAGCATCGTGTGTCGGGTCAGGTGATGGCTCTGAAGATGAACATCCTGGCCAGTAACAAGGCCAACATGCTCAGGGAGGTCCAGCTCATGAACAGACTATCGCACCCCAACATACTCAGGTAACTGAAACGTTTGATTCCCGACATGCTGTCCTTGTCTACTCCTGCCTGGTGTACGCTGGCTAAGCCCATTACACTTGGATCCTGGTGTTCATTATAAATCTAAATTACAAAAATTCCTGCGCTGGATCTGCTTTGTCTGGTCGGTGTGAAGAGCTTTGACTTGTCATGAAAATATCTTTTGTGTGTCTTGCAACTGTTGTTCCCCTTCTCTTGTTACAGTCGTGTGTTTGTCTGCTCTGCCTCCAGGTTTATAGGAGTGTGCGTCCATGAGGGGCAACTCCACGCCCTCACAGAGGTGAGACGCTAATTAACCTGCTAGAAGAGAATTAAAGCTCTCTTATCAACTCTCTTTTTTTTTTTTTTTAATAATACAAACACATGGAGAGCTTATCTGCCCAATGAGGCCTCAGTTGACTGTATTACACAGGCTGAGATCAGGCAGTTCATGACCTTTCACCTGTTTCTTACATATGATGGGTTTACCTGACGTTGCTGTGGTAACTGATCCACTCAAGCAGGGAAAAGGACAAAAAAGATCAGTAGATGAGGGGAGGGTTTGTTGTTCTGGTGTGTGTAATGGTAGTATTTGTGTCATGTATTGATTTGAAAGGTCTATGAAATGTCAGAAAAAGGGAACTTCTAGTCACTTTGTGGTTAAGCTGTATAATATAGATTTTATACATCGTTTCCTGTTTCTATTTTTAGTATCACTACCAAAAAAAAGCAAAATAACACAAAATATCCCTTGACTCAAAGGGACCTCTTCAACTTGTTGCTTGCTTTGTTCTGAAAGCACTCAAAAACCTTGAGATATTCAATTTTTAGTGACATAAAACCAAGAAAAGTAGTAAATCCTCACATTGTAGCAGCTGCAGCCAACAAACATTTGGCATTTCTGACAAAAGACTTGAGTGAAAAAGTCTGGGCAGTGAAATAAAATTGGATTGATCAACGATAACAATAAAATGAGAATGGACTAAGTGTATAATTGAACGTGTATTTAATGACTGGCAGCAACATTCACCAAGTTTAACAGCACAATAAGTACAGTGTGTTACTGCACAACACCAGGAGACATTTAGGTCCCAATTTCCCCAAACAATAATGGAAGCAGCTTTCATATCAGCAGCCAAACAATTTAAAAATGGAAGGAACTAATTGTGCTTAGATTGTTGTGTACTTAACTCCTTTTTGTTGCCGTTTATCCTCTTTATGATGTAGTTCATCAACGGCGGTAACTTGGAGCAGCTGCTGGGCAGCGACGTGTACCTGTCGTGGAGCGTGCGGCTCAGCCTGGCTCTGGACATCGCTCGGGGACTGCAGTACCTGCACAGCAAGGGCATCTTCCACAGGGACCTTACCTCCAAGGTGACAACACACACAAACACATACGCATCAGTGCCCACGTACAGTACACACACATCACTGAACATCAGCGCAGACGGGTCTTCCACAGGGATTCTGCTCCTCAGGTAGTGATACATGTGTCTTACATACACAGTAAACTACTTAATCTATGGATGTTCCTCAAAAACATGACTAGCACGAGGAACACACAGATATTTGGTCAATGCAAACACGCGAGTCCCGTAACTGCAAACATTTGGTGATCTTCTGTTTTTAATGTAGATTTTGGAAACATTAAAAAGCTCTGGTGCAGATTTAGAGGCTTTGCAGTTGCGTCACAGATCTACAAAAAGGATCTGTGGGAAATGTTGTGCAGTGGATTTAGGTCAGTTCAGTTAAGTTTTGAATAAAAAATGAATATGTAATTTTACAGCTGGCTAAACTCCAAAACAGCTTCCAGCTTAATTGGCCTAGCAGCAGGCAGCTAATGCTGATGTTGACGTGCTGAAAAACAGAGGTAGACCTCCAAAGAAAGAAGGTGGGAGCGGCACAATCATAAGCAAGCAATCAGCCGTTTATGGAGCACTTTTTTAAAACAGAATTTTTACAGGAGGGAGAAAGGAGACAATGAATGAAAACCTGGAGATAAAGTGCACAAACCACAAAATATAAAGCTCTAAACCATTAAAGCAGCCAGAGGAAAATGTGCCATTAAACACTGTGTACAAAATAAAGGCCTTGATTTTAACTCTTGCCCACCTACAAGACGGGGCCTCTCGATTAGGTAATAATGCAGTCACCTTTAGGCCCTTATTACTTATAACGTGCATACACATTTGCAATTAATTACATTATCTGGGTATCTGGGTTTGCCTTGTTGGTAACTTTTTATGGATCACTGTTTTGGCACTTATTCTAGGATGAAAATCCAGAAATCATCTCTATCTAACAATTCCCCACAGTGCACTGCGTTGACTGTGATGACTGACAAGTGTCCCAAACTCTCAATCTACAGTCTGCAAAGGAAATGCTGACATACTGGAAACCATTGGCTCCAACAAATCAGATTTGAGGAGATATTGTGGTCATGTAGTTGCTAGGCAGTAGACGGGGTGAAGTAATCTCTTTATAGTTGAAAAGGGCACAGAACTGGCCGAAGTTTGGAAACAGCCACTGTTGGTCCAGAGCTCAAGACTTCTATACGGTGACCTAAAAGCCTTTTTTATAGCAAATAAAAAGCTTGGGACAATAAAATCTTTCATCCCTAAATGCTCACACACACTGGACACACTTTTAACAGCAGTAATAGTGATGTGTTTGACCTCTGACCGCCCCCCCTCTGTGCAGAACTGCCTGGTGCGCTGGGAGGGCTGCGTGTGCTCGGCCGTGGTGGGAGACTTTGGCCTGGCGGAGAAAATCCCAGATTACAGGTCAGTTCATAACAGTCCATTCATCAACACTTCTACGCGATTAGATAAGTCACGCTCCGTAAAAGTTACATTCCTCCACTTCTCTCTTTTCTCTTATTCATCCCTCGTGCCATATCTGTCTGAACCGAGTGTTCGCTAATGTCTCCCACAGCTTCTCGTTTCTCTTGGAGATGAGACACAATCACACACAAAATGAGACCCATTACTCACACCAAAGCACAAGTCAGGTTTTTCCAAAGTATGCCTCCCCCTCTGAATGTTGTGGTTAACCCCACCCCCTCTCTCTCCACCACCGCTCACTCTTTGGGGAACTTCTTATTAATATTGTGAAGCGTCGTTTCAAGGACGATGAGGGATGGCTGACCGGCAGCGGCTCGACTCAGAGGTTGTGTCCATATTTAATCTAATGCTCCACAGACCTGCCGCTCTGCTGCCGTCGTCTCTAATGCGTTCCCCTCCTCTGTGTTCGCAGCTGTGTGTTTTTTAATACGCAGTGACATTTATGAAACATATTTTATTCACTGACATAAATTTTTACTCTCCATAAATGACCGGCAAAGTTTTCCAGTTTTTATTTTCTTCAGCTGGTTTCTCGAGTGACATCACATCATAAAAAGCAGCGATACCACAATGTGGGAAAGAAAGGGAACTTTTTTACTCAAGTTAAAAGTGTTGGCTGTAATATACCCATGCATAAAAAGTAACTACTCCCTTTGAATACAATTTGTGCAAATTAAATTTTGAAATAGGGAAATGATAAAGCTCTCCCAAACTGGAAAAAATAAAGTTTATCAGCCATGTCCTTCGGAAAAACTCTCCAACTGTCTCAAAGTGTGGAAATCCTGGCAGCATAAAAGGACTTGAATCCCTTGTTTTGGGACTTGACCCCCAATTTGAGAGGATTTTGTCTGAGTATTTTCTTTTGTAATATTTTTGAATATCATAAAGTCTTCATAGTCTATGATCAAACTGGGATCACTATAAATTACATTCAATAAAATCGGACCCAAACCAACCCTATTTCTTCCCTTGTTGTTCCAGCTTTAAAAGTTTAAATATTCTATTCCTCCTTTTGCTGCGGACCCTCTACAACCCACTCAAGGACCGCAGTCTGAAAACCACTGGGCTAAGATGCTATAAAGCTCTGCAGAGCTTCTGTGGTTTCATCTCTCTCTCACACACACGTAGTGATCCATTGTTATCATACAAATATTGATTATAGCCACTTTAATGTACAGAAATGAGACTGGTGGCTCATCTATCTAGTCTTCCAAAATAGAAATATTCCAGTGCCAGTAAGTGAAATTGAAATTAAGTACTTCAGTAAATTTGTTTGTCTTTCTCAGTCGTTTCCAGTGTTTCATGTTACAACTTGACTTTTCTCCTCCTCGCATCCATATAAGTCCATGACTCAAATTAGACAGTTTATCTTCTTTATGTTTCCCATCAACAGATCAACACTCAGGCAGTCAATTTATAACAATAAAGAGCATCAACTGCATTGTTGGGAGTGGGACGTCGAGGCCGATCTTATGAAAAAAAAGGAACAAACTCGGAAAAAGGCAGCTGCCAGTATGTCCGAGCCCCCTGCCCACACATGTATAGACACACAGTTACGTCCCATTAACTCCCCTCGTCGTTCTGTCTGCAGTCATTTAGTAAACACACAACTCTCTCTGAGGCGAGACAGCTGCCACTCTAAGCTGGCCTGCCCTTTTTTCTGTGTGTGTGGCGTGTGTGTGTTATTGCTGGCTCTGTTTTTGCACTGTCACCTTTCTGTGTTTACACTCCATCAACTGTGCTGAAAAATGCATTAAAAACAGTCTAAAAAGTGACTTTTTTAAACATGCAAGGCTTCTACCTGAATGTGTCTGTGTCGTTGTGTATTTCTGCATACCTGCAGCTATCGGACATGAAGCCTTATGTTTGCTCCCGCCTCTGTTTCAATAGCAGCTGGTGAATTGTGTTTCCGTCACTTTTTTTCAAGGGCATGTTTGCTTTTACATTTTAGTCAAACACTGTTGTATCCGTAAGCGGAGCGTTAACAGAGAATGGACGATGTTGACAACCCTTCTCGGATGTGTGTTTGTGTTGGGAGTGCTACCACTGTGTGCTTGTGGCATGAAGGAAAGGAGGGAGGGGGGGGGAGGGAAGGATGGAGGGAAGGAGAGGAGATGAAGGGGGTTTAGGAAAAGCACTCCAAATAAGGTCAAACTATTCCAGTCATCCTCCTCTTGCTCTTACTGCCTTACTGGATCTCTGCTGCCCCTCGTATAACAGTCACTCTTGTCCTTTTACTCTCCTGTCACTCCTCTGGTGCTGTTGCTTAACTCTTTCTGTTCATTATGAGCTGTCCGTTAAGCTGTTTTTGTCCCTCCGTTACCATCTGTGCACACTCTTGTTTTCTTCTTTCTGTCAGTCCACTTCTCCAAATGGTGTTTACGTTGGGAGCCGCGACGTATCGACTCCTCATTTCTCCCTCTGCCATCACTTCCCTTGCTGTATTTTTTTTTTGCAGTATCATAGCCCACAGTAGCAGATGGAAATAGCACAGAGAGGAAGTATCTGCCAGCTCTGTGTGTGTGTGTGTGTACGTGTGTGTACGTGTGTGTGTGTGTGTGTGTGTGTGTGTGTGTGTGTGTGTACGTGTGTGTACGTGTGTGTACACAAGCACATCGTCCTTGCACATTCTTTTTCCTTCCTTTTTATTCAGCTAAAATTGCACAACGATATCTCAACATAACTGAAAAACACTGCGGTTTCTTAGATACAAATGAAGTGCACACAAACAGCCGCACAGACCCGGGTTTCACCCCATAAAACCCCTCTTGATTTAGTTCTGCGTTAATGAAATGGAGCGTGATGCCTCTCTTGCTTGTCTGTGCCTTTTTTTTTTTTTTTTTTTTTAAGCATTTGTTTATCTGTTGTTGTTGTCGTCTCTTACACATCTTTCCTGAATGGAAAAATATGTTTTCAAAATGTATTTCTGTATCACTGTTGGGACTTTTTCTTTATTATTATTTAATTCTGATGCACACATATCTGAATATTTGATGTAGTTGTTGACCCAAAGCCTTTTTACTGGGATGGAAACTATTGAATGTTTTCTTTGTTTTAATCTGCTGATTATTTTCTCATTTAATTCTAAAACAAATGTGAAAAATGGCCCACAGGGACATTTTCATTGTTTGTTTTATCCAGCCAACTGTCCCAAACCCAAATATATATTCAGTTATCTGTTTATATAAGACATGAAAAGGGACCTTTTTTAGGTTTCAAGCCCTTAAAAGAAACTCTTATTTTGATGTGTCCATTGTTTATTTGTTAATATTTTAGTCATAAAATGTTAAACGGTGAAAAATCTTCATCACTGGTTCTAAAATCGACGTCCTCAATTGTCGTCTTGTTGTCTGGTCCAAAACCAAAAGATATTTAATTAAATATGATGTACAAGACACCAATCAAAAGGCAGCTGGAACCAGAGAATATCGGCCTGATTTTTAAATGATTAATTAATTGTTCATTAAAGCTTTTGTGTCGTTCAACTAATAATTTGATCTTCAAGTTCTTTCAGTTCTATTTTCTTATTCTGTGGACCGATGATTATTTTATATATATATATATTTTTTTTTTTTTTTTTTTTAGATCAAGCTTCCCCAAACAATCACAAGATCATTTGGGGAACTGTTGTGAAATGAAAATCTTTCCTCCCATCAAATCCCTTCCTCTTCCCTCTCTCTGTGTGCAGTGAGGAAGAGGACCAGGAGCCTCTGGCTGTGGTCGGCTCCCCCTACTGGATGGCCCCGGAGGTGCTCAGAGGAGAGGTGTATAATGAGAAGGTACTGACGGATCATTCTCCTCATTACCCTTTCAGCTGCAGCGAGTTCAAGGTCCACTGTGGGTGTGATGAAAGCCAGTCAAATAAAGCAGGCAGTGAAGTAAAGCAATAAATATTTAATAAATCAGTTATTACGTCAAAGGCAAACAGGGATTTAGTTATGTAAGAGGTGAATTTCTTGGCCTGGGTTACTCTTGTTTTTTTTTTTTTTTTCTGCGTAGCTCAGTGGAAAACCTGATTGCCTGTTCAGGTTTCTTTTAAGGGATGCTGATGACATTTTATGTGTTATGCAGTCTGACCGGGCTTACAATAAAACAACAAATTACTCTAAACTAGATCCAGAATGTAGCAAATATTTTATTATTTTATTATGTTACAAAAAAATATAAACAATTTAATGAAATAGAAACTAAAAATAGTGACAATAAATGTAAGCTGTGTTACTAATAAGCAGTGTTGGGCAGTAACTTGTTACTATATTACAGTAATAATATTTTTCACAGTAACTAGTAGTGTAACTAATTACTAATACATTTCATTAAAAATATTAGTTACTCCTCCAAAAAAATAATTAGTTACAACATTACTTTTCACGTCCTACTGATTTGAAATCCAACAATCACATCCTTGGATTAATTTTTTGTAATCGTGGAGTAAAGTAGTTTGGAAGATGGAAACATTCAGCAGCTGGAAATACTCGATTACTTTGATTTTAACAAACAAAACTGTATTTTAATAATCGTAAGTCCGAATTTTGAAGGGACACAATTACCAATTTTATGGGGAGTAGCAGAAAAGTTCTATAACTAGTAGTGTAAATAATTACTGTTACCATGGAGTTATAAGTAAAGTCATATTACTTTTTAAAAGAGCAATGATTTATGAGTAATAGATTACATTTTTTGAGTAACTAGCTCATCAATGCTAATAGTATATATGCAAGTGTAACCTACAAGATAGATTAAAGACTAAATAAATAGCCCTTCTTGCCCTCTTTTTAACTAACTAGAAAGTATAAAAATTGGTGTTTTGAGTGTTTTATTAAGGCATTGCATTAAAAAATGAATGATAATTATATGAAATTTGGTTGAATGAAGGTCAATAAACCCAGTCACCAGAGCAGTAAAGATACAATCCAGACATACAAGCACATTAGAATAAAGTATAAAGGACATATGGAAGCTGTTTCTTCCTGTTTTTATTTGATCTAATCTTTACTTCTTGATGCGTATCGCTCTTTGACTCGTCTTCCTCTCTCTGCAGGTGGATGTGTTTGCATACGGGATCATCCTGTGTGAGATTATTGCGAGGATACAGGCCGACCCCGACATCCTGCCGCGCACTGAGGTACCGATGGCGTTTTCATCACTCACAAATCCCCCCCCACTCCCTTATCATCACATACTCATCATCTCACGCACGTCTCATTTCATACGGCCCCCTGTTATATAATGAAAATGTTTATAATAAAATAATATTATTGATAATATGCAAGATGGTTTCTGTAAGTCAGTCGGTGTTTCAAAAGCAGATTGTTGCGTAAGGAGCGATGTCAAAATGACTCATAACTTTAAGCAATAGTTTTCATCCTGTCAGAGATGAGTTTGAAAAATACGGTGGATATCTAACTGGTGATTGTCATCTTGGACAAACAGGAAGCTGACTTTCTTATCTTGAGTCGATTGCATGTCCCCAAAAAAACAGCCAAACATCAAATAAAATGCATGTAGTGCCTTTTTTATGATCTGTATATTAAACAGTGTGTGAGAGACTATTATCATTCACCCTGTTCAACTTCACGTACATTTTCTTAACTGGTTTGCTGTGTGTCAAACTATAATATTATAAATATTAACTAATATTCAAAACAGTCTTTATAGTACTATACTAATACTATACTATATAGTATAGTTATGATGTTCACTATTTCCCCTAAATATGTAGTTTTAAAATAAAACAACATAAAATTAAACAAAGCTTTCTCTTTAGGCAGACTGATTGAAATCTCCATATTGCATCATCTCTTGTAGGGCCATACAAAATTAAAAACATTTATAATGATAAATGATTATGATAATGATATACCATGCGTAGTTAGTATGTAGTATGGATTTAGGACACATTAAGTGACAGTCTGAGGTAATCACAAGTGCATTGCTCCCCCTTGTGGCCATTGAATAGTACAGCATTTGTAGCCACTGAACTGTCTGGTAGTGCTTGAAGGGCTCTTTAAAAAAAAAAAAATTATATTAAATATATAATATAACAAATATTTAACAATATAAAAAATAATGATTAAATGTGCGCCCTCATGAGTGATATCTTTTTTTATTCGTACAGGACTTTGGTTTGGATGTGGAGGCCTTTCAGCAGATGGTTGGAGACTGTCCTCCTGAGTTCCTGGAACTGGCCATCGCCTGCTGTAATGTAAGAAACATTCATCTGACAGATATTGCTGGAACATTGTAGGTTTATCCTTAACGGTCCTGACATGTTTAAACATCTGAAAGTCTTCATTATAACAGATAGATGAAGTCAGATTAGCGAGATCTCTAGCTCCTTTATTTCATTTGAGTTTATAAATGACCAAAGCAGTCTTTCCTTAATGCTCTTTTTCAATCTGTTGGTTTCCTCCTCCTGCCAGATGAATGCAAAGGCCCGTCCATCCTTCTCCCAAATCGTGGTGGAGCTGGAGAGGAGACAGGCTGAGAGGAAACAGAAGGACGAATCATCAGTCAAAGGTGAGTCATCAAACGCTCCGCATTCACCAAATGGTAAAAGTTTGTTCCTGCAAATGAATAATCATTCATTCTTTTATCTTTAAAGCTGTTTCTCCAGCGATCGGCTCTCTACGAAGGCGATCCCTCTGCCTCCCATCAGATCCTCGTCTCTCCCGCAGCAAATCCGACATGCTCCACCCTCCGGACACGCCCCCCTCTGTTGCCTTGGCAACTCCTGCTCGCATCAACCCCTTCTCTCGGAGGGAGGACCTCAAGGGCGGCAAGATCAAGCTGTTCGACACTCCCAGCAAGTCTGTCATCTCCCTGACCTTCACCCTTCCCCCTCTACCAGACTGCGATGACCCCTCCACGTCCGAGACAGACAGCTGTGACCAACCCAGGAGGCACAGGCGCTGCCACTCACTGCCGTGTACGCCTCCTCCGCACCTCACATCAGCGCCGAACACTGTCCTCACGGAGGAGGACTCCGCGTCCGAGGTAGACATTGTAAACGGTGAAACAAACGAAACGAGTGAAGAAGACAGACTGTTGGCAGAAGAGAAGGAGATCAGGGAGGGCGGCGATTCAGGTCTTCCTCTGTCCCTTGAACCCCTGTCGCTGGACCTGCTGGACCAAGAGAAGGAGGAGGAGGAGGAGGAGGAGGGGGGGAAGGGGAGGAGGAGCCCATGGACTGCACCAGCTCCCCAGACACACAAGACAGCACTTCATCTCCTTACTCCAAACTCTCCCCGCCTCCGTCCCAGTCCTCGACTCCCCTCCAATCCTCCACACCTCCCTTGTCAAACGGCTGGGGGTCTGCAATCTCTAACGGGCCCCCGTGCCTGCCTCCCCTCTCTCATTTGGACAACAACAATGTGGTTGTGAGTCGACCCTTGGGTTGGAGCGCCACCACGAGCCCTCCCACCTCAACCAACAACAACGGCTACCACTCCCCTCTCAGCGACCCTGCCGGTTCATCCCCGTTTGGCTCCAGCAGCGGACACTCTCTGGACCAGGAGGAGGTGATCTCTTGTCCCGGCTGCTGCCTCGCCGGCCTTCGCTTCCCCTCAATGTGTCTCAGAGCTCCACCTCGCAGAAACCCCTACAAGAACTTGAACGGGGACCACGCAGCCTCACGTGGGCTGCTCTGTCCCGGACCCAAGGGCCTGCCGCCCTCTCCCACCCCAACGACCACCACCACCAGCCTGGAGCCGGGACTCGCCTTGCCGGGGGCGCAGACATAAAAAAACAAAAAACAACCCAGCTTCTCAACACCAAATACAGGCAGAAAAAAGTAGTGTGTAAACTCTGCACCAAAAGCTCTTCCCTGGAAATTAAGTGGGTCTTCTTAGAAATTTGCACAGATTTTAACTCAGCAATACCCTGCTTGTTTTCCAGACACACTTTTTGGTGTAGAGCAGGCTCAGAGTGTCCAGATTGGTTTCGCTAAAACACACTCCGGATGACTTTCTCCATGAAACCTGCGGGACGAGGAACTGGTGTCTTTGCTGGCTACTTGTTGCATGTCGCCCTCTGCTGGGCTGAGGGCGACATGAACTCGGGACGTCAGCGGTTTGCTTGTGTAGAGCTGACTGATGATGGGCCCCGTCCAGAACTGTTCAGCATGTAAACACTCCAGTTTGGAGCCCCAGTTGGCTAGATCCTGTATATTCGCAGATGTAAAGATTCCCTTGACTGATGATGATGATGATGATGATGATGATGATGATGATGATGATGTTGAAATGAGGAATGTTAAGCTTAGTATTATTACTGCTGCAATGATTTCTTTGATGTTTGGTGCTGTTTCTGAATGAACAGGCAGTTTTGCTTTAATGTCTTTAATTATCAAGAGGTGTATGGCGCACTGCAGAGCTGTGTGTGTGGGTGCGGGGTGTGTGTGTGTGTGTGTGTGTGTGTGTGTGTGTGTGTGTGTGTGTGTGTGTGTGTGTGGGGTGTGGACGTGTTTGTGTGTGTGTGTGTGTGTGTGTGTGTGTGTGTGTGTGTGGTGTGAAACGTGTGTGTGAGACGAAGGGTAAGAGAGTGTGGGCTGTACACCGTTCTTTCGTTGCTGTATGATCTCTATTGGCCCTTCGGGTTGCCTGGTTTAAGCACTTCAAACTGTATTACTGTTAATAAGGAAAATATTGATGTCATTATTACTTTTGGGAATGAACGGTCAAAGACCTGCTTAAGAGATGTACAGATTCTTATTATTTAAAGATGGCATTGAATAAAAAGATAGAATGCAGTCATGTTCTCCTGATATCTACTTTTTTAAGCACTAGAGACACAGTTGGTCCACCTCGACTGAAATAAATTAACTATTAGGTTTGCCTTGAAGTCTTGTTCAGACATTCATGGTGCCGGGACGTACTCATGACTTTTCCTCACCACGAGGTTGATATGGGTCGTTTTAAACTTTATTTCTAAATATGGGGAAACAGCAAGTTTTCCCAATTTTGGTTTTCTCATTTCAAATGAAATTCAGTTGGTGGCAAAACTCATTAACATATGCTAAAAATAAAAATTTGCTTTAGTGGGGAAAAACATGTTCTATGTTTCGTATTTTATCTATATTTTCCTCTTTTGAGCCCTTTTTTTTTAAAAACATTTATTTATACCATTTACCCCAATTTGACAAGAGTATAATAAGACAGACAAGAGTGACCTGACAGAAATTTTTAAAGGTTTAAAATGATGAACTCCTTCCACCCAATGAGCTTCTTCATAAAAAGCATTTCTCCATATTTTTCTATCTTTTGCTCAATAACAATGTAATGAAAGTTAATGCTCTCAATATTTTCACTTTTTCTGGTACGAAGAGACATCAATTTTATGTATTTTTTTTTCAAATCATGGAACAAGTTTATCTTCTGCTTCCAACAGTCTCGGTCTCTCAAACTTATCAGTCTCCTCTAAGTAGATTACAGCCTGTCCTCTCTCTTACAAAATCAACAGGCTTCAATTAAATCCTTATCTCTCCACCCCTTCCAGCCCTCCTTCTAACTCCAGACTATCATTCCCCACTGAGGCTTATTCCAGCTCATCCGCGGTGTGTCCTTTTTTTTTTTAACAGGTGCATTTCTCTTGCTTTTAAAGGGAGTCAGTCACCTTCAGTTGTGTACAGCCTGTAGTTAAGACTACCACAGTCTTGCTCACTTGAATCAGAGGTCACCAGGGTTGCCATGGAGACACCAGGTGTACCCACAGATCGGTTGAGGGCACCGGTGGGGTTGTGTGTCATGGTCGTCCTGCTTATCAGGGGTGAGTACTGAAGTTAATCTCACAGTTAAAGTTGTTTTTCATTTACTTCACTGTAGCTGTTTCCCGTGTTTCACTGAGCCTCCTCTCCCTTGTGGTCGCCCATGCTTGCAAGTGTTAACAATGTTGTGACAATCAGACTTAACGGGTCAATAAGCATCTGTGTAAGTGAGCTATTCTGGTGTACGGGTTTCGTGCGAACTTCCCAGGGTCGACTGGGTTAGTCTGCTACACTGCAGTGGAATCACTGGACTTAGGCTGCCTCCTGCGGTGGGATTGTCCCAATGCCAGTCCTAATACCACCTATACCGTGCAGACAAAGACTCAGGGGTAAGTCCTCCTGTCTGTGTCTGAGTGTGTGTGTGTGTGTGTGTGCATGTGCTGTAACTTCACACATTTAGTTTTAGCTGCTACAAGGACAATATCTGGAATTATCCGCACACGCAAGAGATTTAATGCTGTCACGTACAGTTTTTGTATTTAATTTGGTTGTTTCTTCACTTATTTGAGGCAATTTTCTCCTTAAAACACACATGGTTATTATTTATACTATTTATATATACATTTATTTTGTTTTATGCTTCATTGCTTGTATAATAGATGCTCAGTAATGTGTGTATATAGGACTCTTAAGTTAAGAGAATGAATACATGATCATACAAAGCCAATCTGGTGGTGACATGACGGCAATATTGTGCAAACAACAATACAACTATAAGTCAGGCTAGTGTACAAAAATGTTATTTACCAAAGAATTTGACAGGTGTTGATTTCACACCCTGAGCCTTGTCAGTTCTCCAGTCTCTTTGTCTCTGTGAGCTTCATACAGCACTGATGTCTTTCCACCTACGCTGAAAAGAGACTCATGAACAATATAACCACAACAGAAGTTCCTAAATTAAGTTGAGGCTTTGCTTTGCTTTTTTCGGGCAGAATGAAATATAAACTATTTCAGGTTAAAGAAGCATTCACTAAGGCTTTCTTTGCAAATATATGCTTTTTTTTCATGACAGTGCCAATCATAAAGAATCTGATCTTTTCAGTTCACTTCCAAATCAGATACAGGTCTGACTCAGTGTGAACAGTCATGTTAGAAGACTTTTACATGACTCCAGACTGACATTTGAATTGAATTTGCCTGTGATTGGACAATATTGCTAAATTCTTAAACAAATCTGTCTGTTTTTGCTCATACGTACACATAATGTGTACTCATGTTGCAGGGACCCCTGGCAGGACGTGCCGTGGTGCGTTTGGGTCTCGTCCCGCTGGTGTGACGTCTCTCTGGCCTTTTCAAACTTTGAGCTGTACAACATGATTCGTCTCGGCGTCCACCTCAGCCCCAGCACCACCGTCTGGATCGAGCCACGCAAGTTCGACTACAGTGACTTCAGTCAGTGATAGTCTGCATTTTGTTTAATACAACAGGACTGTGATACAACAGTGATACAGAGAGCCTGCAGGTTTTGGCTCTTTGTTGCACATTGTTTGACACTTTTTTAAAAGTAGAATAATCTGCTTTAATGTATAATAAAGATTAGGAATGTTGAGCTTTAAGATAATTAACAGTTCCTCTGTCTCCTCTGCCCACCGCAGCCTTCAGCCCTCCCTCTGTCTCAGTTTCTTTGAATGAAGACCAGCTGTTGGTGAAGGTGCAGTTTCCCATGTGCTGCCAACAAGAGGTGCTCTCTGGAGAGGTGCTGTCCCATCTCTGAACTCATTGACCCTTGGACGACAGTGACTGTGTACAACAAGCTCAATCACTCTGAATACCAGGTCTGACTTGCTTTTTGACTGTTTTTTTTGTGTTGATATTTATTTTAAAAAGCCTTTATACTAACAAATAGTCCATATTTAAAGTCAGTTGTCCCGTTATATATTAAGCTCTTGCTCTTTCCTGCAAAACTCTCATTGAGGAAACAAATATGACTTACTCCACTTCCTGAAGATGATTTGCAAATACGGAAACACTGATGTTGCCATAAGTTGTATGTTAAAATTTGAGGTTTTGAGATTGTGATAAAATGTGTAACTGTAAGCAAAGGGCCCCCTAACTTAGCTTAGTGTCAGTGAACTGTGAATCTCTGCTTTTATTTTGAGAAGGCCACTGTTTTGTGTCATTGCAGAGCCGTACAGTTTGGACCCAGGAGGTGATGTCCTATGTGGAGTTCTCCGGGTTTGGCCCCAGGTCAGAACTACTGTGCTGTGGCCAACTTCTCCTTCCCGACCTTCTCCTTGGCCGCTTCCCCGAAATCTGCTCCTCAATGTGTGGAGACCGTCTCCAAATCAGGTGAAAAGAAGAATTTTGAAGCTTGAGGTTGTTAAGTCATTTAGCATATACCTGAAGTGTTCTTAAGGAAGCTCTTAAGGGTTCATGGTGCAGGGCATACAGGTGACTTTACATATATAAGATAAGGTAAAATACTCACATTTGTCCAGAAACCTTGAACAATTTATCAGCTGCATAGACAATGAAATAATGCTCTAACATATCTAATCATTTGCCTTTTTCTTGTTAAGTTCTGGTTGTTTTATATATAATTATATATAATATTTAATAATTCAAATGTAATAATCTTAGAGGGGGAAATTCTTTGTGTGCTCACAGCAATGACAATATAACATGTGATTACAAGAAGACACTGTTTCATTTTAAGAGGTCATGAGACAAAACTGTTGGGAACCACTGGGTTGAATGGTTATTGACTCCTTCTGTTTACCTCTTTAAAAGCGTAGAACTTGCTTGTGTGTTAGCTGGAGCGGTGATTTGTTTAACCTGTACGTGTTTTCTCCTCAGGGCTGCTGCCTGTGCTGTGGCTGGGAATCGGGCTGACTTCTCTGCTCCTTGTTCCACTTCTCACTGTGTTTCTGCGAAGACCAAGACAAGCTGCTGCTGCACCATCAACTGAAAGTCAACCGAAGGCTCCGGTATAACTTTATTTTCTTACACTTCTTTGTTCACTAATACAATAGTACAACTGCCTGTTTGTCCTTGAAAGATATCTGAACCAATATTTCCTTCATTAAGGTGTCCGTTCATGATCAAGTCACTTTAGTTCCTCTTTCCCTGGTCCCTGTCGACCCTTGTGACATCCACTTGGAATTCGCTGATGAGCAAATCTCCACCGAATCCTCCTCTAGTCTCCCGTCCAACGAGGACCAGACCTTGACTCTGGGAAACACCAGTAATCCTCTAAACTGTAACTCCAGCTCAGGTGCATCATACTGGGACAGCGGTGGAATGGGATGAGGACTGGACTCTCTGGGATCAGCATCCCACCTGTGTCTCGCTCTTCGGAAGAGACATGTGGGACAAATGGAGACTGATACTTAAAGACTGAGAGCCATCTTGCCATGAGTGTTGCTCTATAAAGGTAGGTGTCAATGGAGGCTTCACACCATCACTGTGTACCTCTCTGTGTGTGAGCTACTGAAGTCCACTACCTACCAAGTGCAGCTCTAGTCTGTCCAACAGTTCGATATCAACATAAAAAAAGGGAAATAAAGATGCTGAAATTAGCCGTAAGTAAGAAAAAATAACAGAAATGTCAAAGATATGTTGGCGATACTTAAGAAATAGTGCCTCCGTTACCTAGTTTGTCCTCCAGAGAGCGCTGATAAGTTTATTTTTCAACCGTAAAATCTAAGAACGTAATGGAATATGATATTCATTAGTTCATCGCAAGTTTTGCAGCCACCGTAGTTTCTCTCACACACTGCACAGCCTGTTTTCATTCCTAGGTTATCAAATACAGACGTTACAGAAGTTATTTGCAATCTGCAACTTCACCACTAGATGGCCACTAAATCCTACACTGGTCCTTTAATCAATATTGAAAATAATGACTCCTGAAGGTCAGTAGACCACAATCTCGTGCAGTGGGTTTCAAACTCTATAACGCTGAACTTCCAGCTCTGAATATGTTGTTCTGACCTATGACGTTAATTTCCTGTGGACTTGAGTCCATTATTAGGAAGATGAATGAAGAAGATGTGCGACAAAGGTCGTGACTCGAGTTGAATTGCTTATTGTGAGCCGCCACCAGATGACCTCTAACATGCAAGTCTGTCATCAAGTGATAGAAGAGCGGCTTCCAATTTTAAACGTATAAGCACATTCCTCTGGCTCTGAAGGCTCGTCGGAGTCTGATATGAGTCAGAGGGTCAGAGAATCGACTGGTGAGTGAGAATTACCAATGAAACGGAAATAGTTTATCCAACAAGTCCAAAAGGAGCCTGTTTTTCCTGCGTATGTACCACTGATTCAGTGAAAAATCTAAATCTGGTTGCGGTTCTTCCCCCTTTCTGCCTTTTAGTGCCGAGGTCCAGTTCAGTCCAAACCATAAGCTTCATAAACAAGAACCAAGAAAAGGTCTGACCCCCCACATGCAGCCAGCAGCTCCTTCATGCTGCTTTTTCCCCCCTCAGAGTGATAACAGAAGGTAGTTTGTTTTCTATCATTCATTGCTCTGAAATGTTTCTGACTCACAGTTGCCCCATCGCTGCCTCTTACCCGTGACTGACGCCTCATTCTGCCTCCTGCATGAAAACAAGGAACATCTTGACATCTCGCTTTTTCTGCCTTCTGTTTTGCTGGTGTTGCATTCTTTCCGCAACATTGGGGGAGCTTTGGGGGTTTGGCCATCCAACATTGTTTGTTTCCCCTTCTGCGTTTTCCAGAGTCCACAGAGACCTGGGGGGTTATCCAAAGCTTCCATGTACAAGCCAGTGGTATGGCTTTTATTAATAAGCACAGTGCTTACATTGTGGGAAGATGATTAATGTGAAGCAAGAAGCTGGCTCGTGTGGATGAGCACCTGACTACACAACAGTCGAGCTGCTGTTCCCTCCACAAGCGGTACACGTTTGACCTTTTTTTATTATATTTTCTATCATTTGTCTGAATATATCCACTGAGGTGGATTTAATTTAGCTGATTCTCTGGTTGTGTGTGTGTATTTTGGCAGGCACTGTTCTTGTGGTTTTAGCTCACTGATTCCTGAGGTGAACTCGTTAGACTTGTGGTTTGTCTTATTATAATTTCCTTCATGATCTTAAAGATGATGACGATAGGGAGGAAGAAGGTTTATGCCAACACTAATTACCAACTTTAAAGCTAATAACTAATCATGTACATTAGTGGTTCCCAACCTTTTTCCTTAAGGGAACTCTTTTCTACCACTGAGTAAACTGATAACCCCTGACTAACTGATGTATATTTAGGACATTGTATATTATATTCAATGTGTAATAATATTGATAAACTGTGCAAGTAACCCAGATAGTGAACACAGTCATTTCAGGAAGTTTGTAAAAAGTGGATGCAGATTATGTCCTGTGAGCATCAGAGAGGAGTTTGTTTTTATTTTTAGGAACTTTTTATACATTTTTGTGTCTGTATTATGTATTTTTATTTATTTATTTTTTTTACCAATTATACATTGATTAAATTAATTTGACAACTTAAAGAATTATAATAGGTGACTGACAGTTGGCCCTCCCATAATGGCTTAAGAATTGTAATGTTCCACTAAAAGACTTGAATGTTTGTGTTCAACTATTCACTGGACTTTTTAAATTGAGGTTTAACTTAAAGCATGTTAAAGCAACTAAAGCTCAATATAAGGAGAAACATGTCTTCTGCTGCAGGTGCATCATTTTACAAACTGCCTTCTTAGGTGTCACTTTTCTGTTCGATGCTGTGGTCTTAGTTCTATTGAGTGTAAAGGCATTAAATAAGCTTTTTATATCAATTGTTTCTGTTAATCGCTGGCTGCATTGAACCCACCAGAGTCAGTTTATACAAATAAAAGAGCCCACACCTCAGAATAGACAGTACCTTTAAGAAACGTATAGCTTGTGCTTCAATCTCACGAACTGACTCGTCTTTCTGTGTCTGGCAGGAAATGCTTAGTCACTCGCTCTGTGACTCACCAACCCTCTGGGGGTTCGACTTATTTCTACCCCCAGCGTTGACTGTATGACCGTCCACAGATGGTCAGCAATGCTCAATTAAGAAACATGTTGCGCGCCATAAACGCTGCATAGCAGCACCTTTTTTGGGCTTAAATGATGAAAAATACACACTGCTTTAGAAATACAGCAACCCACAAATAGCCTGTACGTTCACTTGTATCAATAGTCTTTTATTTGGCCATACATTTCATTCATTCATTTAATAATTAATATACATTATATATACATAAGCAAACAAAGACGTCCATGTCCTTGTTTAGCCATCTTGCAGTAAAGGTTGGCAGTGCATTCTTGGCCTTTTTAACAGTGTCATTGGGTTTCTTTCTTTCATCCCCTCGTACGCACACACACACGACGTCAGTCGGGTCAGACGTACGATGATCGTGTTCCCGCTGCAGAACTTCGATCCACTTCAGCCTCGTCTCAGCAGTCGCTCTGCTCTGCTCATC